AGTGTCACACATTAGATTTGCAACTTTGTTTATCCTGCTTTAGGATTTAGATTCATTTCATGTTTGTTGTACTATTCCCTTGTATTTCCAAGATTTCTTTTAAACTTTGTTTGGTCCCACATTTTCCTTACATTTCAGTTTTCTTTTAATTATCACATCTATTTGACATTTTTACATATTTTTCAGACCATTTCCCTTGACCAATTTCCTGTCAAAATGTATCACACCACATTTGTTCTCATTTAATTATATTTGTATTATAGCAATCCAGTCCAAAACCTTCACTAAGAATGACCTCAATGCTAAAACGCATAATTACATGATATGACTGTGTCAATAGAAACTGACATTTATCAGGAATTAAGGAATCCAAATGTCACTGCGGTTATGTCAACCATGTTGTTTCATAATGAAGAGACACAACATCCGGCATGACTCAGAGCAAATCACAACAAGTCACTGAGCAGATGAGATAAAAAGGTGACCGATCAGGTGAGAAGCTTCTTCTTATCTTATTGGTTATTCAACTTATTTCATGAATGAGAATTGAATAGCAAAATACACTGAACTCAAAAGGACTTGCTTCATTCTGTAAAGGGAGTGTCCGCTCACCTTTGTCTTATTGAGACAGACCTTTCATCACACTGGAAGTTCCTAATGAGAATTGTATTTTTTATTTCCTCCCCAGTCCAAGTATAAAAACCAGATCTCTTCAAACTGCCTCCTGGTGGTCTAAATTAAATTGAAATCGTAATGCGGCGATACTTTTTACGCAGTAAATAAAAACATTTACAAAAAGTGTCAGGTTTTGTCATTATCAACAAAATGCAGAACAACAATCAAAAGTCTTCTATTTCTTGTGTTGGAAATTAACTATTAACTGGAAATCATTATCTCTCTCTGGTTATGGTTGTATTACCTTACTAACTTAGTTTAATTATATAATACTCGAGGCATAGTTAATAAATATAATTTATAGCATCAAGAAAGAAATACCGATTATTTCTATTTTGAAGAATAATTAGAAACACGATTTGGTGGTCATATCCAGTTGGAAAGGATATAGCCAACTCCCCAGGGCTCTCACACCTTACCACCACCATCACACACACACACACACACACACACACACACACACACACACTCCCAATACATATAACTGTTGGTTTAAAATGAGACAAAGCTGAATTATAACGTGACGGAAGACGTTGTTCATTTGAAGCATCGTTAGGTAATTTAGTCATTTTAAAACAATAATATTATCAGTTTTCTTCCCTGGATACGCATATTTAATTTAAACCACAACTGCTTCTAAGTTATTACCAAATGTTTACCTTTTTGGGTTGCTTGATATATCTTATTGTTGTTTCCGTTGAAGTTTATAGAGAGATTTTCTCACCAAGTGTGAGTTTTCCACAGCAGATCAAGAAGATCCAGTTTAGCTAGTTTACATAATACTTGAGGCTTTATTAATCCCAGTGGGAAATTCCGGAGTTTAAGCAGGTATGGTGACAGCACAGTCCTTGGGGGGCTCCAGTGTTGCCTTGCAGCCTGACATACTGAGGTCTGCTGGTGAGGTAGTCTGTAATCCAGGCCACCAGGCTGTGATCCAACCTGCAGCCACTGACAGCTTCTCAGCGAGCAGGTCTAGCTGGATCGTATTGAAGCCCCAGCTGCGTGTAGGCTCTGTGGAGCATGTGGATTGATGGCGTCCTCTACACCGATGTTACAAACTGTAGAGGGTCCAGGGGAGTCGGGCAACTGGAATTTGGTGGCCTGTACAGGGCAATACTGCTAAGACTTCTTGGCAATCCCAACCACCTTCTGAGCAAACTGCGGACTCTCCTCTCTAAGCTCTCTACAATTGAGATGGGGACCCTGTAGACTAGCAGCGGCCAGAGTATTCCTCCGCAGGATGCCATGTTGGTAGATCCAGGCTTTGGCATTTGCCAAAGTCTCGACCGGTCTACCTCTCTCAACCATCTCTCCAGCTCCTGACCGGTTGCCTGGACTGATGTAGTGTCCTTCAGGCTGCTGTTGAAAATCTTGCCAAGAATATACTCTGGCCTTTTCTGAGACAGTTGGATTGGTGCCCCTTCAATGCTGAAGCGGAACCTGTCCATGACCTTTCCCTCCCCTAAGCACCAATGATCTTGATTTTACCCGGCTTGAACCTCATTCTTGCCCAATAAATGAGATCCCTCCAGCCCTTGTACAATCCACCTGCTTCCTGGTACTGACTCTGGTGTGACAGTCAGGTCATCCGTGAATGCCCTGATTGTGGTGCAGACTTCTTACAGTGCAGATGCTTTTCTGCTTGCTCTTGCCTCCGCTTACTTTTTTATGCGGTTTTTCTAATTTATTTTTCTGAAAACTTCGAGCAGCGGCTCCTGGACATTAACCTATCACTGGGACAGTTATTCTTTGTAAATAGACGGAGGGTTTCAGCCATATTTCAATATTTTTACGACGACCTCAGTCTTACAGTAGCGTGGCCTAGCAACAGCTAAAGCCTGGTACAGCATGCTATTTAGCTTAAGCTAGTTAGCAGCAAAATGCCTCCGTTCTCTACAGATGACTTCCACAAACTTCTACAGAAGATGGCCGTGTTGGAAATGAAAATGCAACGGTTGAAGTTAACGTGGAAGTGAATAGAGAACCGCAGTGACACGTCGTAAAACCCGGAAGTAAGTTAGCATTTTTAGCACTTCCGGTTCCTTCGTCAAAAAGCAATGCATTTTCTCCATAGGGTTTTGGAAAATAGCTCGAAATAAGGTCTGTGGTTGACACAAATTTAAGAGATAAATCACGTTTTGTTCTACGACATTAAATACATCAGCAGTGACCCCACTGGTGATTTTTGAAGAGTTTACGTGTCTGAAAAACGATGGTTGTTACCGAGTGGCTGAATAGGACTACAGAAATTGTCGAGGCCGTTGTACGTCATTACGCCTAACACGTAAACACTCCCGCTAAGTTTGTTTTCCCCTGTGTTCTGCTTGAAAGCAAGTACCTGCCAGAGATGGGGTCGTTACTTAAAAAAAAGTAATATATTACATATTACATATTACTTTTTAAAAAAGTAATATATTACACTACTTCGTTACTCTCTACATAAAGTAACGCGTTACTTACTCG